TTTTTTTTTTTTTTTTTTTTTTTTGAGTCTTCATTACTTATCAAATTTTAATCTTCGCATAATTCAACAGAGAAAAAATATTTTTATTTGGTCTCGCTAAAGGCATTGCAGCCAATATTTTTTTGATATTTTTGACATGTCAAACTATCAATGTGATTTACCTCTTTATTCAAAACGAGAATTAGACAAAATATCTACAAAATCTTTGAATAAACAAAGACAGTTTAAATAATGACATTTTCTATTAGAATGGAGAATTTGGGGATTTAGAAATTGGAACTGAAAAATAAGGGGAAATCGGTCAAAAATCGAACAAAACTGTTTGAGTTAATTTAGAATTTTCGTCTCTAAGAATTATACTTTTGTCCTGGCATTAACGTTGAACTCTGCTCTGAATAGTAAATAGAATATTGTAGCTTAGCATATCATTAGGGTTTGTTTCTTTCTTCTCTATTGATATCAACAGGTGGAAAGAGATATAGATAGGCAACAGGTGTTAGTAAAACTATGCCATAAATAAATTGCTTCCAAAAACCTTCACCATAACGATGATGAGAAAAATATATCGAAAAAATAGAAATCATTTGCGCCGTAAATTCAAAGCTAGCGAAAAACGTAGTTCATTCGAGAGAGAACCATCACAAAAAGCTTCATTTTGTCATTGTTTTTCTTTTCTTTTTCTTTTCTTTTATGTAATACTTCTCACTGAGCATGCGCTTCAAGAAATCGTCTTATGTCGTCTTGGCAACCAGTCGCTTAATGAAAAAATTTTCAATCAAGGAGGCGTTTCCGCCATAAATTCACTGAATGAGTTTCAAAAATGAGCCATTTCTTGTTTTAAACAAAATTGGACAAAGTTTAGTCTCATTTTAGATAAATGTTGCTTTTGTTTCGACGCGTTAAATATAATTTAGACGTCTGTGTTTAACACCAGCTGCAACTGGAAGGTTTTTCGATTCATTTTTGACAATCTGCTGCCATAATTCAACAAGTCAGTCAAAGTGCACCTAAGATAAAATTTAGAAATCTGGCTTCCAAAGTCGAAAACTCCTCTGTTACCCTATAATTCCAATAACCTAAAATTGACAATATACTCTTAGTTCCCTTTGAAAGATTTTTCGTATTTCAACTTCAACACGCCAGGGAGGCAAATATGTTTTTCTAGCGACTTTATTAATTTCTTTGTTCTGTTGCCTCCATAAAAATATCCCGCTGGTCTAGTAAGTCTTTTCATGAATAACCAAGGTTGTTTTCCAATGATTCAGTTCGATAGTGCCACAGATTGCTCCTGTCCCGACACGTAGGCAAAAATTCTCAAACTTACAGTAAGCACACTTCGAGTTATTGTCACTTTTTTACAATACTGACATACCATAAATCATCCCCTGAGCCAATTTCTATCGATAAAAACGGCTAAATTACGTACCTAAGATGGAAAACACAATAAAATGGCGCCAAAATTATTTACGTGTAGGCTCAAGATGGACTGAAAGAATGAAAAACTAATAAAAAATATCTGTCTTCTTAGGTAGTGATCGGAGCAGAAGAGGACGAAGTTGATTGGTTGGGGGAAGGGGATAGAATTTCATCGATGAATAGGGCGAGGACCAAAAGCTGAAAAAAAAGATTTTGGATATCGAATTGCCAGTGTTTATGTATATTTTTGCTCTCAAAAATAAAAATAAAGAATGTAATACATTGCAGGACAGCCTCCTGAGTCTCTCAGTGTGTGCTGAAGTCCTCTAAATGAAGTTCTGCTGTTACATATTTAATAAGTTGCAACAGGTCCTAATAAGTAATCCCTAAGTAAGTCCTATGAATTTTTAATAGATTTATCTCGAGAGCTAAATAAAGCAGAATGTGTGCTTTTCCACCCGTAAATTTCATAATCAGCTAGATTCTCATAAATGCATATAAAAACTACATTTTATATCGGGGAAAACTTAGCCTTTCAAAAGCAAAATGAAAAACATTACTAAGTTGGCTAAAATCACGAAAATACTGACTGCACATTGGCAATTGTCCATCTTTTTCTTCCTGGATTCGTGTAAAATATTTCGAGCCAAAGAAAATAAGGCAAACTCTTTACAAAATATATTCTTTTCCTTGGAAATCTTTCGTTTATGTGCTGTTTTGGTAGAGAAATGTATCAGAAAAACGAAAATTAAGTCAACGAGAGGTACCGACAATTCAAAGTCATACCGTCCTTTGTATTTTAGCAATTTATAATTAGGACTGTGAGCTGAATAATTTATTAGTTGAACTGGTACCAGATAAAGCTTTCTACTTAATTGATTATAAACAGCAACAGGTAGAACTGCGAAAAGACAACGGGGAAAAATAAGATTTACAAAATAAAATTCTGAAATCCTGGAATAGCCCAAGATAGGTTGTTCCAAATGAGTTGTTATAACTTCGGGCTGAGTTCAATTTGGCTCGTTTTTCGTTCTTTTTTTAGTTTTGTTTACAAGCTACCTGTTGCTTCATTTAATTCGGTATTATTTTGCTTTGGATATTTGGCAAAACTTCCAAATTGTAGTTAATTATGAATAGGCTGAAAGGGGGAAATGTTTACAGGCCACAAGCAATGGGTCAGTGAAGCTCAAAACTAATTTATCTGCTCGCCCAACCTGTTGCTTCCAGTTCATTATTTACTCCTGAAATTTATACCTCAAAATCGTAAAAAGGTAGAAAACTTTTCATATGTTATTTTTGGGTATTTACGTTACGTAAATCAGGTACGTTAGGTAAATCATCTTTAAAATGTGAGATTTTTGCTTA